TCTCTTCTTGACAAGGTCCAAAAACGCATTGTAAATGTTGTTGGACCTGGACTATCTGCTAAGCTTGAACCTCTTTCCCATCGTCGTAAAGTTGCATCTCTTTCTCTTTTTTACAGATACTATCATGGTCACTGCTCAAAGGAGTTATTATCTCTAGTTCCATCAACTAAAATTCATTCTCGTTTTACTCGTTATTCAGCTAAGTCTCATTCGTTTACTGTATCTGTCCCTGCATGTTCTAAAAACTTTTATTCATCTAGTTTTTTTCCCCGCACTTCAATCCTTTGGAACTCTCTCCCATCTTCATGTTTTCCTGACTCATACAACCTTCAACTTTTCAAGTCTTCTGTCAACCTTTTCCTTGCTCTATAACTCTGTTCTTTTTTTTCCTAGTAACTCCCAACTTGATAGTGGTTGCTTGCAGCCTTGTTGGGAGTGAATGCAAATAAAAAAAAAAAAAAAAAAAAGGTACTAGGTACAATCCTAAATACCAACTGCCTACCCTAAAACATGGAGGAGGTAATGTAATGGTTTGGGGATGTTTTAGCCGAAATGGAGTTGGTCCTCTCCATAGAATTACCGAGAATATGAATCAAGAAAAGTACAAAGATATATGTAAGACTATTATGTTACCATATGCAAAGGATAAAATGCCTCGAGGATGGATTTACCAACAGGATAAGGATCCCAAACATACAGCTAAATCGGTTTAAGAGTTTTTTAAAGAGAGTAAAGTTAATGTTTTGAAGTGGTTATCCCAATCACCTGACTTAAATCTTATTAAACATCTATGGGAACATGTTGACCGTCAAATGAAAGGAATTAAGCCTACAAATTACGCTGATTTATTTAATAAAATAAAAGAATTATGGGACTTAATTCCCATTGACGTTTGCATTAATTTAGTTGACTCTATGCCTCATAGATGCCAAGCTATTCTTGATTGTAAAGGATATCCTACAAAATACTAATGTGATTTTGCTTTTGCAAAAATTTTGATCAAATATTGTTGAAATATTTTAACTATTTTAAAAAATAATGCTTTGTCCGCTAATTTTTGAACTTATCAAAGATCGTTGGTTTGTATACCAATTTAAAATATTATTTAGATAATAATAATTTGTTCAAAACCCTTATATGCAGAAATTTTTTCAGTTATTTATGAGCAATGAAACAAAGTATTTTTTTCCTGGATATATTCTTGTAATTAAATTCATCATTTAGCTCATCAAAATAGCTCCAACTTTCAGGCTATTCTTTTCCCGATTTAATTATTTTTTTGTTTTTTTTATTTTTTAGCTTTCAGCTTACGAGTTTTTTTTTTAATCCTGTTTTCTGCTTTTAGGCTATTTTTTTAACTTCCATCTTTTATGGTTTTTTTTTCCATCTTCCAACTTAAAGGCATTTTTTCTTATTTTTTGTGCGGTGACATTAATTTTTAAATGTTGAACTTCAAACGGTGGACTGATGAAAGGGAAAAAGGTAAAATAATGGAAACCGGAATTAAAAGTCCTGAAAGGTGCATGCTGGGAAAAAAAATCCTTAAAGCTGAAGGCTAGAATAAATAAACAATCCTGAGAGTTGGAAGCTTGAAAAGAAAGAAAAAAATACCTGAAAGCTTTCAGTTTTCAGGGTTTTTTCATCTACCTTTCAAGACTTTTTTTTCCGGCTTCATTTTTCAGGGTTTTTTTTTTTCTAGTCTTCAGCTCTCAGGCTTTTTTCCCAGCAGGTTTAGGATTTTTTTCCCCCTGTTTTATTCTAGCTTTTAGCTTTCAAGAATGTGTTTTTTTTCAAGCTTCCAGCTCTCCGGATTGTTTATTTATTCTAGCCTCCAGCTTTAAGGATTTTTTTTCGCAGCATGCACCTTTTAGGACTTTTAATTCCAGCTTCTATTTTTTTACCTTTTTCCCTTTCATCAGTCCACTGTTTGAAGTTCAACGTTTAAAAATTAATGCCAGCGCACAAAAAAGCACTGGCAGAATAGTCAATTTTAACTTAGCCTACGCAATTTTTTTTCTGCTATTTAAATTATAATAAAATAGAGAAAAAGTGTTTTAAATAAATACCAGATAAAATAATTTTATAAAAATCTTGTAAAAGAAAGGCCTTATTTCATAAAAATTAAACAAATGAACAAAAATTTTTTTTAACAAGTGCTTTTTTATGGGTTTGCCAATGTTTTTGCGAGCGTGTGAGCGAGCGTAAAAA